TGTGGTCTTGTTAGTTATATCTTCATAAATCTTTTGTTGAAGAGAGAAAACAGAAAATCATTTAAGATAAATGGACTGCTTGCATATTTATTCAAACCAAGCCCTGGCATCAATATTACAGATGGGCTTTACTTTAGTAAATGCCAAACAGTGGAACTTACTCAACTAGATCCACTGGAAGTAGAGTTTGGAGAAGGGAATTGAAGATCATTTGTATGCCAAACAGTATTTACTTTATAAGGAGATTCATGTCAGAGTTTTCTCTTAGTAATTATTGTCCTTGGGAAATGCTTCTTTCACAGATGTTCAGAATTATATTTCTTAGTGAATTTTGGCACATTTCTCTGCTGTGGACTGCTAGTGCTATAACAGCATTCATTTTCACGTTTCTCCTTACTAATGTAATCGTGCTTTTGTTTAGGGTAGCCATAAACTCAGCTGAAAAATTTAGGGGTGGTCCTGTCCCAACTAATGAATTACAAATGGGAAATGCTGGGTGATCCTTCTGGGAAACTCTTTAAAAAGAGGCAAACTAAGCTGGCAAATTAAGTTTTACCTTCTGATCTTTCCCATCTTTCTACCTGAGTTTCCACCTACCATCTGGTAACTGTGAAGCAACAACATGAGGAACAAAGCCTGTGGTGAAGCCCGAGTGCTGCCTGTCTGCAAGCACTATGGTGCCATACTAGCTCTGGGGCCACTGGATTTGTATTTTCTGATTCATGAGAAAAATAAACCCCCTAGTCTTAAAGCCATTACTTAGTTTTTCTGACTCTTACATGCAACAACCAAGCCTATCTCCTCATCTAATCCCCTAAATCCTTTACTTGAGATTTTAGATTCCCTTTCAGATCTTCTACAGTTGTAGTACTCCTTTTATTTTTAAAAAGTACTAATTTATCTATAAACATATTTTGTGTTAAACTAATTCGGTAAGAAAAGAAAATAATTTACTACAAAACCCATAATATTATCATTTTAAGGTGAAGCAAACCTGTAGTATATATGCACAATGGAATATTATTCCGCTATTTAAAAAAGATGAAATCTTGCCGTTTGCAAGAAGAATGAACAGAGAGAGAATTATGCTTAGTGAAATAAGTCAGGCAGAGAAAGACAAACACTGTAAGATTTCACTCATAATGTGGTATATAAAAAAAGACAAACAAATAGATAAATTAATTAAACAAACCAAAAAGGCTTTTAGTTATAAGTCAAACTAGTGATTACCAGAAGGGAGGTGGGGAAGGGGACAGGAAATCTAGGGAAGAGGGGCCAATCATATAATGAGGAATAATTCTGGACTTTTAGTGGTTAGCTTAATGTAGTATATACACATGTACATGTTGACTCTCAACAATGAACACCTGAAACTTAATGTTATAATGCAATGTTACTTTGATTTTAAAAAATAATGAAACGAAACAAACCTAAGATTACCTATTTATTTGAACATTATATCATTCCCTAAAAATTATGTTATTTGTAAACTTATTTGCTTGTTTATTACATGTGTTCTTTATTGACTAAAGCTCCACAAGGCAAAGGTCAACTCATGTTCTTTACAATATCATCATTACCTAAAAAATGCCTGCCACATAATAGGTACATGATAAATGTTTAATCAATGAATGAACATAATTATCTAAATTCATCTAATGAAGAAACTGAATCTCAGAGAGATCATTGTAATATAGCACCACAAATCTACTCAATCATTTGTGAATTATAAAAATGACTATTTCATATGTATGGTTCAACCTAAAAGTGGCAAGATGAAGATGAGAATAAAAATCTAGTTATTAACTCAGTGTTCTTCTTATAGCAATACTGACTACTGGTTATGATTCAAATTGCAAAATGAGTCTTCATTTAAAAAATAATTTATTATATATGTCACATATTACAGCTTGTACAGCTTTTATTTGAAATAGGATCTAATTAATAAAAAATGTTACTTATATTCAATCTTAAAGGGAGGAAGGGAATTTAAAATTACTTAAGAGTTGGGCACTTAATATGTGTCATTACACTTAATAGTTCCTTACAATAGTTCCATTTCAAAGATGATAAAATTGTACATTAGTTGGGCTAAGTAGGTTTATATGAAGCTTTCCAACTACTAAGTGGTAAAATGGATCTAAGGCTGGGTGTACCTCATTTTAAAGCCTTCCTAGTGGACCAAATGCTACTTTGTCAATTATAATTGGAAAAGCACTTGATTAATGTAAATTATTACATTACCTACATCTTGCATTTAGCTCATCAACCTCAGCAGCATAGAGATGTTTATATCTAGTAAGAAACATTCCTGCTACCTTTAGAATGAATCTGCATTTTGCCTGTAGACAAGTGCTTCTGGTTAGGAAATATTCAAAGTTAGAACTTGAAATATTATAAGGCAAGATATTTGAAATTTTTCTCCAGTTATTGTTCGTGCATCAAATCTACAGTTTCTTGACCACATAAGATGTGTACACTCTACACACTTGAATTAGTTAGCCAGTGGTTTAGAAAAAAGGGGAAGTGTGAATTCAGAAAAGCAGTTGCCCCTAAGCTAGTCCTGATATCAGACCGTCCCAAAATAAACTTAGTCCAAGATTGTTTATATTCCTATGAATTGGTTGATACTTTTTGAAACTCCTTCACTTTTGCAGTGATTATATTAAATCACCTCTTTGTTTCTTTAAGATTAAACTATCAGTGATTTTAAACCTATTTTTGGTAGAAACTACACCTATTTTTCAAATGGAATCTTATGTTGAACATTAATATGTAAATAAGATAAGAAAAAAAAACCAGCAAGGGCTGAAATGGGGACCAGGAGGCACATCAACTGGGCTCCAGCTTGAGCATGGAGAGGAAGATGCGGAAGCCTTCCGCAAAACCTTCACATTAAGACCCTCTCTAAGGCCCCTTGCAAGCTGAAAAGTCTATGAACCAATGGCTCTGTTGGGTTTGTGTTGGTTATCTTATTGCCATGAAAACTAGTTTTATTCAACAAGGGAAAAATAACCATAACTATCTTTCTCTGGGAACATCTGGTGTGGAAATTAAAACATTTTAGTTCTAGTCCCTGATGGGCCACTATTTAGGTCTGTTACCTTGGACACTGTTTGCCCATCTATGAACTGAGAATAAAGCATTCCCTACTTACTTTATTTTTAAATGCTTTTTTGTGAGGTTAAAAATTCCCTTTGACAAAAATAAAATTAGGATACCATTGTAAAGAAGTATTGTGTTCAGAAAGATATATGACAAGAAGTGTGGATATTGAATTTTCATTCTAAAGTTGCTACTGTAAGGTTGTTACAGGGCAGGGAGAGGGGCAACCCAGACCCCACAAGCCTGCCTGCTCTAAATAGGTTCTGCTATCTACCACATCAACACAAAGCATATGAGTCTTTAATGGGAAGAAACTTTAATACAATTAGTAAACAATATAGGAAAGGCAAAGAATATAGTTTCTAAATCAAGCACCCAAATTTACCCATCCCCTCATGGGTAAAAGTACACCCAAGCAGGACTGGCCCAGAGCAAGGCCCCAAAGCCTGCCACAAGTCTAAAGCATCTTCCAGTGAGGACCCACAAAAAAGGATCAGAAACAACCAGACAAGTCTGGGAGGAAAAGAGCAAAATCAAAATCAAGACAAAAACCGCCATTGTTATCTCCCCGCGGGTCTCTCACCCACATCTGTGTCACCCAGTCCACGACCAAAAGGCAAGCACAGTTTCTTCATGTATCTCTCAGCTCCATGTGCCTCCTCCAGGTCTCCTTCTGGCTCTCCATCCTGCTTCCTTCCTTCCTCAGTCTCCTCTGCAGCTTATTCTTCTCCCTGCTCATCTCCATCCTCCTTTGGGTAGTGCAGGAAACCTGGAAATTCCCCCTTTCCTGGGGGCCACTCTGTTACAAGGTCACTACCTCTGTTCATAATTATAATAAAATTAAAAGGTTAAAATATAAGTTCAATTATGTCTGGGTAGAGAGGAAGTCATTTGTGCTTATTTGGGTATGGTCACAATTTTTTTTCCAGAAGGGGGAGAATTCCTTTGTGGAAAAAACTTGTTTTTTTACAAAATTGACATGCTTAACCAAAATAATACATTATCCTTTTTAAAATACAGAAATAAAAAAATCAATTCTACCTTTTAGACCCACAATAAGTGGCATTTGTTGAAAATCTTTCAAAACATTCTATATGCAAGATGAAAATGAAAATTGTACTACCCATGTTCTTTTAAAACAAAAAATAATAACTTCAATTTTGCATTTAAAAGTTGTAAAGGAAATTGGTGAAACTACAAGTATTGTTCCTAAATTATTTTCATAAAAATGTTATGACAACATATTTACTCTTCCACCATACTCTAAATTTTTGTACTTACAATCTGTTCTGAAACCTTAATTCCCACAGTTATTTAATATTAGCTTTGTATTTAACTAAACTAAAATTTCTTTATGAATTCTTTTATAATAACTTCCCTATTCATATATTATTTTAATTTGACTTTTGCTGGCTGAGCTTCATCATCTAATTTTCTTCTTCCCAAGCTTGAGAAAGCCTGATCCTTTTCTATATATCTGAGGTACAGCTGCCTGGCATAATCACTTAGAGTTAAGTTTGACTGACTCTCCTTTCCCCAATGCACATACACACAGGAGACTAACAAATGGAAGTTTATTGTTCCCCTACATAATAAAAGTTCAGAGCTTCCATAATGGACCTGCAACATTCCAGTTCACTACTCTACCATTTCTTAAATAGTCCATGTCCTCATGGTCCAAGAAGGCTGCTAAAGTGCCAGCCATCATATATGTATTTCATGCAGCACATTGAACAAAGGAGTCAAGGATAGGCCACTACCTTTAATGAGACTTCTCTGAAGTAGCATGCTACAGTTCTACTTATTTTTCATGAGCCAAAATTTAATTGCAAGGCTATGAGGCATATAATCTATGAGCTGATGACAATTGTCTAACTTTGGTTCTTTGTGTTAAGAAAGAAGAGAAAGGACATGGAGAAGTAACCAGCAGCCTTTGCCTGTCACGTCTGGATATGGAATTTGTAGTCCATCTTTCTCAAAATAGCTTATCACTATCACCATGGAGATGTCTGAAGTTACCCTACATCTTTCTTCCTTGTAAGTAATCTACCTTTTCTGCTTGGATTCTCATGTGTTTAACTCTATTCTTGAAGGTGAGTAATTTCTATAGGATATATCTTGGGCTCTCCCAAATACATGGTATCTTTTTTTGATCTACAATATTTATTTCAAGAAACATTTCTTCTATTATATATCTTTAAATATTATTTCTATAATACCTTTAATTTTTCAAGCAGTTGACTCTTGTTTGCAGAGCTTTATAATATTTTTGTATTTTTGTTTATTTATTCTGTCTTTATCTCCAATCTGTTTCTCAGATATTTTTCTCTAATTTTTTTTTTTATCTCTAATCTGTTCTGCATAATTTTTATCATAATCCGCCCCCCCCAAATTTTTGGTTGTTTCTAATATAGCATTCATTTCTGAGATGTTTTATTTTCTTTTTTTCTCTTTTTCTACCAATTTATCTTTATCTTCTTTTATTGTGTTTTTAAAACTCCTATAATATTCTTTGAGATATAAATTTTAGAGCAGCCATTTACATTTAATACATTTTTCTCCTGATCATTATTAGTTATTTCTAAATAATATAATAGACATCTAAAAATCTAACATGAAAACTAAGTCCTTAACAACAATCTATATCTAACTATGTGACTTTCTCGTTGCGCCCAATGCCTCCCCAATTGCAAAATATCATCCTGGTATTTCTTTTTACATCATGTTATTGTATCACTGTATGTTCCTTATATAGAGTATATGTGTAATAGATATTAATGGATTATACATGTTCTTTATGTTGTTTTTTTAAGCAATAAATAGGATACAATGTTGTATGTAAGGGACTTACTTTTTTTAATATAAGTACCTTATTAAATACATGATTTGTAAATATTTTTCCCATTCTGTGGATTGTCTTTTCAGTTTCTTCATAATAACAGTTATAGCACAAATGTTTTTAATTTTGATGAATTCAAATTTCTTTTTTGTTGTTGTCTTTTCTTCATTTAGCCATTGCCTAACTCAAGGTCACAAAGGTGAATATTTACACCTATGTTTTCTTCTGAGACCTTTATAATTTTAGCCCTTAAATTAAGGATAATGGTACACTTTGTGTTAATTTTTGTGTATTTTATGAGAATTTGGTTTAACTTCATTCTTTGTATGTGGAAATCTAGTTGTTCTAGGACCATTTGCTAAATAGACTATTTATATTACCCATTGGATTTCCATGATACTCTCGTTGAGAATCAATTAATCATAAGTATATGTGTATATTAACTTTCAATTCTTTTTAAAAATTTTTTATTAATTAAATTTTTATTGTTACATCTTGAAGTCCCCATATATCTCCCATCACTGTATCACCCACAAACCATCACCATATTCCCTTGTGTTCATCCCGCCCTTCTTTTGCACCCCATCCCATCCCCTTCTTTGCTGTATGACTCAGTTCTATGGTCAGCTTGCTATTAACTTTGAATTCTAATTCACTGATCTATATACCTTTCCTTAGACCAATACTGCGGTGTATGATTACTGTGACTCCAAGTAAGTTTTGTTGTTTGTTTATTTTTTTGCACAGAACTAAGAAAAGCAGGCCAGAGTGAAACAGTATTGAAAATCCTCTGATCATAGAATGGCCTAAGAGCTATAATATATCTTTAGTTGATAATTATTATTATAAATTGCAAATACTTTGTAAAAATTTACTATATATGAAACATTGTGCCAAGTGGTTTCTATCAAGTCTGCTATCTCATTTAATTCTTAAAATAACTATATGAGGGAAAAAGCTAACCCAATTTTACATGCACAAGGAAGAAAACAATGAAAAGTTAAGGTATTTGCAATTACTTACAGCTGTGTCTTTCCCCATCCCTATTCCTCTCTGACACTTTCTCCTTCCCCCTCTCTCTTAATCTCAGAAGTTTTCCTTTACTAGTGTCCAACAGTTTTGTAAATATTTTGTTTTGTTGAATTGTCCACTATGTAAACATACAATATTTGTCTTTGCATTTTGATTTGCTTTACCATACACAATTCCCTGACTCCTTTTGTTTTGCTATAAATGGTAACGTTTTATCTTTTCTTAGGCTAAATGGTATTATATTTTTCAAATATGTCACATCTTTTTTATTTAGTCCTCTACCAGTGGGTACTTAGGTTATTTCCTATTATTAAAAATGCTGCAATAAACAATGTAAAGCATATGATTTTTTGAGTTAACAGTTTCATGTTTGGATAATGGGACTGCTGGTCATAAAGCATTGCCATTTTTTGTTTTTAAAAATAAACCCAGATGGGCCTCCCCTGTGGCGCAATGGTTGAGCACTGGGTTGTGAAGCTACCCGCAGCCTCTGCAGTGCCGGTTCGATCCCCGGCTGCTCCCCGGCCACCAGAGGAGGGTCCCATATGGCGCGCAGACCTCTCCTGCCGCCTGCTGCTCCCCTCAGCAGTGTACTTCGGTCCTTCTGCCTGCTCTGCTCCCCGCTCTGGCTCTGGTGAATTCTCTCACCCTCCCGCGCTTCTGACTGTACCCAGTGCTTGTATAAAATAAAATAAATAAATAAATCTTAAAAAAAAAAAAAAAAAAAAATGGGTAGAATTTAAAAAAAAAAAATAAAAAAAATAAATAAATAAACCCAGATGACTTTCCAAAACCTTAATGTCTTTCTATTTTGGTAACAGAGAGTGTTAGAGTTGGAAGAAACCTCAAAGATCATCTAGTCATACATACCCACTTACCTATAAATGAGGAAATAGAGCCCCAGAGAGGAAAAAGGAGTTTATCAAGATCACAGCTGTGATCTGTTTGAACAATTTTATAACTATTGCAGGCGCTTCAGGAACAAGTCTGAGAGAGACTGATGGCCTTGCATCTTGGATTCAGGACACTGCAGTGCAACAGTTATAGGCAGGGAGAATGAGCATGATTATATCACATTGAGAGAAATATTGAGACTATTGGTCTGGTAGGAAAGAACAATAAAGGATGTACTCTTCTGTGATGGTGTTGAGTATAGTGTATTTGAAATTAAAAGAGTAAATCTGTGCTCTTTAAGATAGTCATTGTGCTGAGAGGTGTATCTTTCAGAAAGGGAAACAGAAAGAGATGAAGGGGTCTTAGTGGGGTGGCATGGGTAGCAGAGTTGAAATAGAAATTTTTCCTTCTCTGTCCCAACCTGAACTCCTTTTTCTTTCTCTCTCCCTATCTGTTAAGTCTTGTTTGTGAAATAATAGTCAATAGTATTTACTGAATGCTTTCTCTTTCTATTAATAAATAGTATTTACTGAATCCTCTACCTAGATTGCCTCATTCAAACCTCACATCAACTTTATGAGCTAGGAGCTACTATTATCATCATTTTACAGACAAGTACATTGGGCAAAAAAAAAATATTGGGCAAAGAATAAGTGAGTAGTGAGTTATAAAATGTCACTCTTCAACTTGACATGTCTTCAGGAACAAGAAATAAGAACCTGAGTATTTATTCTTAAAAATTTTGCTGTCTTATCAGTGTAAAAAAGTAACAACAATGCAAACACAACAAAGCAAAAACGGACAATTATAAATCAGAGACTGCAGGGGAGGAGTAGGGAGAGGGATCAGAGGGAGGGAGGGAGGCGCACAGGGGACTGAGGTGATGGTGCACAGGTGCATTGGTGAAGGAAACTCTATGGGGACTATACCTGAGGGGGTGGGGGGAACAAATATTGTTTAAAAATGAAAAATGATGTAAAAAATTTAAAAAATTATAAAAAATTAAAAATAATAATAACACAAAAAATTAAAAAAAAATTGCTGTCTTTATTTGGGTATAGAGTGTAGACTTTGTAGATACAGTATGAAATAGGACAAGTCTTGAGGACCTTGGAGCTGAGCTTTTGTTAGAATGATTAAAAAATAATAATATATAAGTCTTCTAATTTTAACTTTGTGTTAGTTTTCCTTTTGACCTCCCTTAATAATTAATAAAGTCTGCCCATTTTGTGCTAAGGTGACCCAAGAGAAGATCTTTTTTGTTTACTCACCTTGAGTCAGAGGGCTTAAAAGTCAGCAGTGTGCTTGTGGAGAAGGAGAACTCCTTGTCAAAAGCAAGTAAGTCTTGGAGTTAGGCATCCTTCTACTTGAGGAGCTTTTGTCTTTTCTGGGGAGAGTGCTAAAACCTGGAATTCTAGACAAGTTTCAACTAGAAAGAAAAATGTTGGCCTTTGGGAACTGGAATGGTCAGTGATAAAAACCCACCAGGGAAGGTTAGGGAAAAAAATGAAAGTGTTGTTCTTTTTCAGCTGTCAGTCAGTTAAAATTAGAAACTCTTTGTTTTGAGTCCACTGTGTACTAATCCAATGGTAGATTTGATCCTTGCCCTCAAAATCAAACATTAAACATGAAAAGGCAAATATGTACATGAGTGGAATTGAAGAACAAGTTAAAAATACAAGGCCTGTCATAAGACAACATGCCAAATGAGGAGAAAAGCTAATAAAGAGGTTCTATAGGTGTACCAAGGAGAGAAAATTCACTGGGTTAGGTGATCTTTCATTATGAAGGAGGAGGAAACACTTGCTCTAGGTATTTAAAAATTGTAAATGCTTATGTTGTACAACCATTCCAGGCTGGGCAGGTTCATTGTTGATTTGGGCAGAGAAAAAGAATTTTGGAGCCTTTGGTATCTCTAACATGCCTTTAATGATGAATCAGGGAACCAGGCACACATTCAGACCAGCAGCCAGGAAAGCAGCAGCTGAGCCTCCCTTCCCCCATAATCTCAGTGTGCTTTCTCTTTCTCTCTCTCAATGATCTCCATAATGAACTCTGGCCCTGGGCATCCATACTTATAAGTAAGCTCACCCCTGCTCTGCAGCTTCTTGGCCCTGGTGTCCATAATCCTAGGCATGAGTTCCCCATGCTCAAGCCTCTCTGTTTTGGATGTCCATGGATGTCCTGCTTATGCTCCCAAGCACTTTTTTTTTTTTTTGCACCAACATGATATCATGTGTGGTCAATGAAACCCAGGAAAAAAGCAAAACTGCAGGTGGCAGCCATAGAGGCTGGCTGCTAGGAAGTGAAAAAATGCATGACTTACTTCATTTTCCGTACAGTTGGGTAAGTGGAAAGGAAGGAGAAATGGCGGGAATGGAGATGAAGTATCAGGAATATGTAAGATATGTAGTAGGGATAGTGACCAAATCTTTCTGGCTTGAAGTAAGTTTCTTTAGGAGACTAATAGGAAATAGGCCCAGATGGTGGAGAACTTTGAATGCCAGGCTAAGGAGCTTGTCTTTACCCTATAAAACAAGAGATACTCTTATTTTTTTTTTTGAGATAGGCAGTAAAATAATGAGTTAATTTTTAAAATGATTGGTCAGTAGTAGAAAAGTGATGACATTGGAATAGAAAAACCTCAATATTTCAACAGTAAATGAGTATTGAGAAGAATTAAAAGATGTCGAATGTTTAGGAGATTCTGAGTTCTTTTTTTTTTATTATTATTATTATTCCTTATGTTAACTTTTGACTTGTGTCAGGGAGAAAGAGAAAAGAGCAGACAGGCCTTTACCTAAAGCAGAAGACAGTTACTTAGTTAGCATTTATTTGCATTGCTGACATTTTGGGGACAACTGTAGCAGGGGCCACTTCCCTGGAAAAAGTGAAACACAGTTCTTAGTTCACAGATTGAATGTGGGAAGATAGAGAACCTTCAAAATTAGTGACAAATAAAGCCCTTAAAGGTCAGTGTAATGTTTCTTCCTCTTTTAAAATGTTTGTGTTTCATTAAAGAAAAAAACAACTTGGGTAAAAATATCTCTATACAAATATGACCAGGATATTCATATATATAGAATTTTTCCCCTCCAATTAGCTATAAGTTTCTATAGGCCCAAGACATGCTAAAATTTCCTTTGGAAATTAAACACTTCCTACACAAGGGTCTCAGTTTATAGGGAGTTAAGGCTGTTCAGTTGCTAATGATCTTGGCTTGTTCATTACCAGACAGACCTAAAGGAGCCACATATCTGCTTCAGGCCATCAAAGTCAGGTGGAGGATGGATATAGAGTAAGTTCCTAAAACCAGAGATATTGAATCGAAAGCAAGGAGATCCCTTTGGGCAAGATTTCTGATACTGGTGGAAGCCTTTAGAAGAAGGGCCACATAGATTCTTCCATCACCTTTATAGATTTAAAAATATTTAAATATTTAATCCACATAGAATTTATTCTGGAGTAAGAGAATTTGGTTGCAACTAATTTTTTGTCCAGCTTGCTATCCATTTTCCCCTACTTATTGAATAATCTATTCCTTAAATCATCACTACCCTTGATTTGAACTGCCCCTTCTATCATATACTAAATTTCCATGTGGATTTGGATTTAACTCTGAACTTTCTTTTCTATGACACTACTCTCTTTGTCTCCTCCTGTACCAATGCCACCCTATTGTATTATACTAGCTTTATAATGTAGTACACTTTAAGAAACACTGTCCTTGGGGCTAGTAAAGTAGTAGCCCTGGGAAAAGTAGGATTATGAGTTGATTTCAATAATGAGGAGAGAAGACCACAAAGAGAAAAAAGGGAAGATTTCATAATTCAAGCTGAAGCCACCTGTTTTACAAATTTGAGACCATGCCTACATTTTGAGAGCAACAAGAAATATATAGTTAATCAGTCATATCCTTCTTTGCCCTACTTTACAAGTCAATAGTATTGTTATATAGACCACAATCTATAGTGGAGAATTTGATGGTGACATTCCTGTAATGCATTATTCCTATAATACATACACTCTTATAATACATTGTAACACATTATTAGTATGGCTGATCAACTCTGACAATTTCACAGAGAACATGGAGAAGAGAAGGCAGACTGCTCCTTTTGAAAATCTTCATGTTTTCCTATTAACAACTGTAACCCCCTTTGACCAAGAATTTTTTCTCAGTTGTTAGGTTTGTTTATTTGTATAGTTCTTAAGTTAATGTGTGAAATACATTTAAATGACAAACATCATTTAATCTCTCCACATGCTTGAATTATTGCATGGACCCCTTGCAATAATAGCGAGCAGAAATAGAGCTGAAAGTGTATCAACATACTTCTGTGTAAACAGATTGTATACTTATATAATCAATTCATTCAACATGTGTTCTTTGATCTTCCTTTATGCTTCTAAGAACTTTGATAAGTGCTAAGAGGCAATAGGTAGTCAAACCAAAAAAAAAAAGATTAATGCATATGAAATAGCTTGTATTAGTTTCCTAAGACTGCTATAACAAAGTACCACAAACTGGGTGTCTTGTCATTTCAAATAGAAATTAATTCTCTCATAGCTCT